CTCAAATCATCTGGATCCGACGCTTTGCCTTTGCCTTTGCTTTTTGATTTGTCTCTTCCCAATGGTCGGGAAGGTGGTAAAACTGGAATAGGTTCAACTTTGTTCAAATCAAATTGAACACGAGCATCTGATGTAGTGTGGTCGGATTCAGATGTTCTGCTGCGTTTTGACCAACTGTCGATATGTTGGTCAGATGTTTTGCTACTCAGCCATTTCCTGTTATCTTTCAAAAAATTCCAAACTTCAAGAAACTTGAAAGCCTTCAGATTTTCTTTTTGATACACTTTCAAGGCTTTCTTCAAAATGACTTCATCACTTTCTCCACTTTTCCATTGACGTTTCATGTTGTTCCACAAGTCATTAAACAACATGATTTCCTTGTTCATCTTCCCCCATTTGGAGTACACTTGATGTTTTGAACGGTATTCTCCACGGTTCATTCCTTTATGGAACCTGTGTAAAACACAAATCCAAAAGCGGTCATGCTTTTGGTCTTTTCCAACTGTCGCGTCTTCTGAAATATCGATCCAAGATTGTGCCAACACCAACGCTTCCAAAGGTTCCCAACATCTAGCCTCCGCCTTCTCTTTTCTTTTATTCGCTGCTCGAGTGGGCTGAGTTTCTGTAACGAATTCTGGTTTAGAATCAGAAACGACCGTTTTTGGTTGTGTTTGTGTTTGTTGCACAAACTCGGGTTAGGACAAAAAATCAAATGGATTAAAATCCGAGTCGGGTTGTGGTAGTGGTGGTGTTTGTGGTTGTGGTTGCCCTGGTCGTTGTGGAAAATACGAAAACATACCGCCGTAGTGGTAATACGGAGGTGAGAAAATCGGTTGATCAAACGAAGGTACTGGGGTGTTGGTATTTCCGACTGGTGTTTTTTCTTTGTTAGGTCGTTTGGAAGATGACATTTTTCAAATAAAAATAGAGAAAAGGAGTAGAGATATGATAAAAAGTTGTGTAAAAATATTGTGTGTGTATATATATATATATGTATATATATATATATATATATGTGTGTGTGTGTGTGTGTGTAGTAAAGTTAAAAAAATAATAATAATAAAAAATAAACATTGAAGACCATTTAACGGTCAAAACCAGTCAAAGATCAAGCACCAATCAAATTGCACAGTACTCACAAGCCGCACTGCGGTCCAGACCGCACCAGACTGCGGTCTGGGGGCGGTGTTCCGTGTCCATGTGGCACGAAGTGCGGTCTCGGACCGCACCCATACCGTCAAGCCTAAGGAACACACATGTACGCCTATTCTAAAGTCAAAAAAAGCTAGTTTTGATGTCAATTTCAATATGTATCTCCAATGTTGTGTACTCCTCTCCATGGAGTATAATAATGTTTGTAAACTCTCCTCATGTGATTATTTATATGAGTGGAGACTATACTTATAACACAACCTATTTTGACAATGAAAATGTGTCAAAGAGATTCAATTTTTGATAAATAAGTTTTCAAAGTTATTTTGGAAGGGTCCACTCATTAAATATATTTTTTTTATTTTAATGAATTTAATATAAATTACTTTTAAAACTATTCTTTTAAATTAATTATTTAAACATTTAAAATCATATTAATATGTACTATTATTTTTATTTATTTTATTTATTGTTTTGATGTTTTGTTTGTATTTTCTAATATTTTGACGTTTGTCTATTTATATTATTTAATCATATCTTTTTGACATTTTTATTTATTCGAAACATGTTTTAAAAAAACCGGATTATACGAATCTGTAACTTTTTTACATTTTATTTAAATATATTCTTTAACATTTTTACGATTTTAAAATCTTTAAATTTTTTGACATTTTATTTAAATATATTGTTTAATGTTTTTTTTATTTTTTTTTATTTTTTTTGTTAATTTTGTTCGTTTACATTATATAATTTTTTTTTCTATATGGTTGTCAAATAAATAGATTAAAATAAAAACATAGATAACTATCAATCATCCATAATAATTATTTAATATTTTTTTATGTTTTGTTCGTTTTCCTCATCCGTTTATACGTTTATGTTCATTCCCTTATTCAATTTTAAAAGGTATTATGGTTATTTGTTAGTCGAATGATCTTAAATACTATAGTTAACAAGTAAAACGATATATGTAATAACAAATAAAATGTTTATGTGATAACACCAAAAAGGTTTTATGGTTGTTTGTTACCTCATTATACTAGTTTGATTTTATCAATGAAAATTCTAAGATTATTTTAAAAAAACGATTATAAATCTTAATACGTAATTTTTGTTGCGTGAATAATTTAAATTTTCGACCGATTATCGTTAATTTCCTCAAAATAGTGAGACCATTATGGAGATTTTCCTTTGATTAAATGTATTTGTGTAAAATTGATTAAATGAAAACACTTCATTAATTAAAGAAATATATATATATATATATATATATATATATATATATATATATATATATATATATATATATATATATATATATATATATATATATATATATATATATATATGCTTAGGTTATTTTATTTAAAGTAATTATTATGTTATTGTATGCATAAATATGGGCCAATCAAATTTATTTATTTTAAGAAAGTGATTAATATATATTATTGAATTAGATATAATTGAAAAAATCATCATAATTAATTACAAGGGTAATTTAGTCAATTAATATAGATGTAATAAAGGAAAATTGCATTTTTTAAAGGATCATAGATTCTATTTATTTTAAAAATCCGATTTTATGAATTATAAATCTTTTAAATCAAACATTATGATAGAATTTGTTTATGAGTATATTCAAAAATAAAAATATTCTTGAACCATAAATAATAAAAATATTCTTGAACCGATTTTTTGATCATGAATTTAAAAACTTCTTGTAGATTAACAAATTTTTGAAGAATAAAAACAAAAAATACATTATTCTTTATAGAATACGAGTATCAATTGTTAATATTTATATTTATTGTTAAAGAATAAAACTAAAAAAACTTTCAAAGCGGGAAAGGAAAAAACATCAAAATCGAACAACGACTAATACATTCTAAAAGAATAATGTGGTCCGTTTCAATTTTGTGGTCCGTTCTTCAAACATCAACTTCTGTGATTCCAACAGAACTGGAATTCGTGATTCCATGCCAACAGAATTGAAATTCGTGATTTCATTCCAATAGAATTGGAATCTCACCAATACCTCTGTGATTCCATTTCCTGTCAAACAATTAAACCCATAACCTGATAAAAATTAATAATTTATCACCAATTCTTGATTTACAATTCTATAAAAAGATCATAGTTCAATCGGAATGGATATCAAGGAGTTGAATCTAGGTTTTAGAACATGATGTTACATTAGTGAGCTAACGGAATAAACTACGATTGTGATATATAGCAAACTTTAACATTCAGATGAAAATCAAATCATCCATTGATATCCAAATGGTATATCATCCCATCATTACCCTACTCATTTGCACAATTGATGTAAAGGAATTTTAGATAAAGAAATTGCAAAATACCAGAAAAGACATACCATGCAGAATTGGGTATAGTCCTAGAGATCTTCACAACACGAGCCTTCCTGGCCGATGAACTCTCCCCATGGTTTGGAGCCCTAAAAGCCCCATCTTTGAACGTCCTCCCCGCAGACCATTCAGAGCGAAAGGTCTAGGATTTAGAATTGAAATCGGGCTCACATTCGTTCATCGGAATTGACTGGATTCGGTTTTACTGGAGATCTTCATAACATCTTCCGGTTTTGGACTCGACAAATTGTTTCCGCCATCGGTGGTCGAAGATACTATCGGAGATACTAAAGAAACGAATTGGGATGCAGACGTCAATGGTAACTAAAAGGGGATAAATTAGGTTAAAATCAACTAGCATAATTATAGGAAAGTATTTAGGGAAGTTCTTTATAAAATTACCTACTTACTCTTATTTATTTATTTAATTATTTATTTATATTTTAAATTTTGATTGGCCTATATTTATGCATACAATAACACAATACTTAGTTTAAACACCCGAACCTATATATATATATATATATATATATATATATATATATATATATATATATATATATATATATATATATATATATATATATATATATATAGGCTTAGGTTATTCTATTTATACTAATTATTGTGTGATTGTATGCATAAATGTGGCCCAATCATTTTACTTATTTTAAGAAAATGATAAATACATATTATTAAATTAAAGATAATTGAAAAATACCATCTAATTTCATTCTAAGGGTATTTTAGATAATTGAGATCAATTTAAAAAAGGAAACTTCCATATTTTTAGCGATAATTAATTCTCTTGATTTTAAAATTCTGAAATTTTCAATTAATTCAATTTTAACTATAACATAATTTGTAATTTTTAATTAACCCCGATTTTATTATGTTAGAATCACCTTCTGTTAGAATTATATTCTCTAGGAATGTCAGTATACATATTTCTGTTTTAATGAACTTCTATGAGAATATCACTGACTAGTAAGAAATTTTTTTATACAACTTCAATTTTTCATTACCTTCTTAAAAAATAAAAACAATATATTATATTCTATGACAATGAAATACTCACTAATAACAAACAAAAACATGTATATTATTTCACGTGAATATTCTAATGGAATATATTATTACATATAGTCCATCATTCTATTGTAGACTATTCTATCAGAATATAACGACGAATAGTTCTCCCATTGTGACGGAATTGGAATTCGATATTCCATTCCGGCAGAAGTGCTGTCAGAAATGCTGAAATGCATCCTTGCAGAATATGTAATTTTCAGTCTCAACTTCCCACACTAACCTACACACAAAATTGCTTTATCACAGCCTGAAACAAAAAATATCTAGAATATTAACAAACTGATGATAGATAGCCATCTACACTCTACACAATACATACATATGAAACAAACTAGTACATGAATTCAGGTTTTTCAGTAAAGTTTAACTCACAGGATTCGTCTCGATTGCTTAAGGAGGTTGCTCCTGTCCAGTGAGCCATTTCCACAAATCTGGATTTTCCTGCAATTTAAAAGTAAGTAAGATGGATGTTAACCCTAGGTGTAATCTGTTACTGGTAATTATTAGCAACAATATTTGTGGAATTTACCAGGTTGAGGACAGTAATAAGCGATTTGCTCCCCTTTACATCTAAAGATCCAATGTGATTCTCCACCAAACTTCCTAGAACTAAGTCCAGCTCCAGAATACCCCTTTGTTTCCTTCTATACAACAACCTACTCCGATTTACAACAAAAGTCACAAATCAGAAATGAATCACGCTTCTATAAGTCAAATAGGGATATGAAAAATCAAACCTGTTAGTTAATCTTCACTTGCTTTCTTCTTTAGAAAAATCGAAATCTAGGGATTCGACGCCGTCATTAGGATAATAGAAACGAGAGAATTAATTAACATAAGGCCTGAAACTCACAGAAAACCATCGATAGAAGAAAAAAATTTGGCAAACCACACACACACAAGCACAAGATTATCAACCTGTAGAGAGTTTGATACGGAATGGTGGCGTTTGATGATGCGCCGCCGAGTACACGAGCCAGGGCGGCTGTTGAATTAAGGAAGCGTGATATGCCAAACAACACACTTATGAAGAAAACAATGAAGGGCAACCCCACAAAGGGTCGTTGGTGTTGATTCATCGTAGAACTCATCGAGATTCGGTCCAGGATCGCCAGCAATGCATCGTATTTGAAGAAGCAACGTCTGGTGGGGATGTTGAAAAGAGCGAGGAGTGATGGTCCCATTAGGGAAGCGATTATCCATGAGTTGGATTGGACTTGGATCCAACAAAGGTCTTGGATTCCAAGTTTGGAGTTCTGATCGATTTGGAGGAAGAGTGAAGGAGCTGGTTTTTGGCGAAGGTCGATGAGGCAGATACGACATTGGTGGTCGCAGGCGGCAATGAGAAGATGAGGAAGACTGGCTAATTTATTTAGGTTTTAAGGTGAGGAAGACCAACGATTATCCATTGATTATAGGGATTATTTTTGGAAGTTACTAAACAAATTACTAAATTACCCTTATCTATTTTTTTAATTATTTAATTTTGATTGGCCCACATTTATGCATACAATAGCACAATAAATACTTTAAAAACCTGAACCTATCTCTCTCTCTCTCTCTCTCTCTCTCTCTCTCTGTATATATATATATATATAAACATAATCAAAACATAGTATAATAGTATGTGACGCCTAATCATCGTCGCTTACCATGATATCATAATCCTCGTCCGAATCTCCTTCAAATAGTTTTGATTCGTCATTTGTATCTTCCAACAACTCATCATCATTAAAATCATCACCAATGTGATTCACTTGAGCAATAAAGATATGTTCCACCAAATCAACACAAAGGTGGTAGTGTCTAAATCCGTCATGTACTTCCCCTCTATTTGCTATGTACATCTGCATACTAATATCATCTCCTTCGATGTTTGGTAAATTTTCATTTTCATTGTAGTGAAAAATCGTCTTCTCCTCATCTTATATAATCAGACAATGCAATATAGTACATGCGTAGATCATGCTGCTTATTTGTTTGCACTCTATAGACGTATTGGTACTACGAGTATGTGACAACGTCTCTTTAGAACACCAAAAGCTCACTTGATACCCTTCCTAGTAGATTCTTGTTTCAACTTAACCTTTATTCGATATTCATCATTTGTACATGATTTCATAAATACAACCAATCATGGATATATCACATCAGTATGGTAATACCCACGATTGTGATATTTCCAATTTGCTTGAAACGACACATCATACGATTTCCCTAGGTAGATTTCGTTGAATATTGACAATTGGTCTAGAAAATGCATGTCAATGTTGGCACCCGATGAACAAAAAAACACATGACATATCTAAAGATCATACGATGCAGCTGCCTTTAAAATTATTGTTGGTTGCTTTTTATCACCTCCTGTAAATTGACTGCACCACACATTACGACACATTGACAATCCCAAATGTATAAAATCAATACTACAATGCATTCTAGGGAACCCATGTTTATTTTCATGTGTTGTATATAGTTCATGGATATCGCTAATTGTATGTGTGCGTAAATAACGACAATGATAGATGATAGTCAAAGCTGTAGAAAACTTGTATACACATTCCCACATCGTTCGCTCTAATTTCCTTAAATATTCATCTCATGAGTCTGGTCTCATGCCAAATAATAGTTGACGAATTGCAGTTGTACAATTTTTAATTGTGTAGAAACCTTTCTGACGTATTCCATCAGTCTATTGCTGGAATTTTTTTCTTATCAATAATACATAAAAATAATACCTTCCTCATCCATAATTGATGCATGAATTTGTGTGCATACACTGCATCATCGGCAAAGTAGTCATTCACAAGTTGGTTGTGCCCAACCTTATGATTTCTTTGAAAAGTAGGATTTCTAGTTTTTGTGCAAAAACATTTTCCTTTATTTTCTTGTAAGTAAACAAGTGTTCTTTGCATGATATCCCTGTTAAACCATGCTTCCCGCAACACCAACATATCCAACAAAGCGGATGACGATGAAGACATTTTTAAATAAAATAAATATAAAGTATATAGCGTGTTAAGTTTTTGTTTCGTGTTTTAAAATGTGAGGGATCGCTAATGTATACTATATTTAAAAAAAAATAAACAAAAATTTTAAATGTAAGCATTGGAAGGCAACTATCGAATGCAACATTTCAAAAAAAATTGCATGCGCTATATGTTCCTTGCGCAGTATCCTTACCATATTCCTAGGTCGGTCATATTTACCGCACACTGCGGTGACACATCCTATACAGTGGTGTGCAGTATGTATGGGAGGTATTGACTGGCCTTAAGAGGGGTAGGTTGCCGCACTTTTTATCAATTTAAATTTAATAATTTTTTAATTTTTTTAATTGCAACAAATAATAATAATAATAATAATAATAATAATAATAATTAGAAAACTGAGAGTCTTACAACCTTACACACTTCAAACCAAAAAAAGTACCAATATAACTTGTTAAACACTTAAAAAAAATGAAAACTTACAACCTTACACACTTTAAAATGAAAAAAAAAAGTATAAAAATAACTAAAAGACATATTCATTAGAAAATTGGCCACCTAAGTCATCGATCGGTTCCTCGTTAAGATCAATGTGGTCAACAATATAACTATCTTCTGTCTAGTCTCTGTGAAGATCATGGAGGATCTCAACATCATGAATCATTCCTTTTTCTTTCCAAGTAATGTTCGCATCCAAAATCAAATGCATGTGTCTGTGGAACAGGTTCATTTTCGATGTACTCACATATTGCATTTTCTTAATCTTCGAGAATCATATTACACAATATGATACAAATATACATCATCTCACTCTTTTTTTTCTTTTGAAATAGAACTAAAATGTATTTTAGTATAGGCCAAATTTTTTTAAGTGCATCAAACGCTTGTTCAACATCTTTCTTCGCCTTGTCTTGAGCTTTATTAAACTTCAACCTCTTTAGATCATTAGGAATAGGAAATGTCTTCAAAAAACAAGAATTCTCTGGAGAGATCCCTTCCACAAGATAATAATCGTACCTATAAGACGTTCCATGAACAACAAATGAAGAATCTGGTGTAGTCCCCATTATGCATGTCTTCAAATATCGAAAAAATGTTACGAACATTTATTTCATTTAGGGAACCAGTAGAACTAGAGAAGGCATGATATATCCATCAATCCTAGGAGGCAACAACTTCATTTATGATGGTTGGATAACCATCATCACCTTGGTTGTATTGGCCTTGATACACATTTTGGAAATTTCCCCATTCACAATAGAAGCAATCTAGGCTTCATAATATTCCAGGGAAGCAATGCACATTTGTATGATGAGCACATAATTATCAGGCGTTATTTCAAGTAGGTTTACACAAATATCGTGGACCATACAATCTTATGACATACTTACTAAATTAGTGAATGCTCTCATACGGTACCTGTAGACATCCAAAGATTAGGATCTAGTGCATCACGGGAAACATCATATGCTAGTTGACGTAGTGTGGCTATGTATTTTCCTAATGTACTAAAACCTATTGTACCTCTTATTAGAAATGGTGTCCAGGTTTATTAACTCTTTTGGTAATATTTCCAATAAGAGTAGGGCCCTTTTGTTGGTCTTGTGAGCCAAATAGCATAAGGAAATGGAGATTAATAATGTGTTAATTTATTAAGGAATTAATAAATTAATTAAAAATTATTTGTTAATTAATTAAAAGGATTTATTTAATTAAAGATGTTGAATACTAATGAATCCAATAGATTAATTAGGATATTCTAGAACCCTTTAGAGAGAGTTGTGGAGGGTTTTGTATGTCCGTATGGTATGGATATGGCAAGTTTGAAAATTGAAAGGATTAGGATAAAACCCAAGAGCTTATATCCTTATGTAATACTCCTTCCTACGTGTATAAAGACTGCTAGGGTTAAACCGTAGTAGCTAATCATAACCTCCATAAATTCATCATCATCATCATCATCATCATCTCTCTCTCTCTCTCTCTCTCCCTCTCTCTCTCTTTCTCTCCCTCTTTCTTCTCTTCCCCGTTATCCTTTAACGAAAATCAAACCCTTTTTCTAGGGTTTTGGTGATTTTAGTTTAAACCCAATACTAGTTTCATTATTTCTTGCTTTTGGTGTTGATGGTTTGATTTCATTAAAGGGATTCTCCTTTGCATACTTCATCTTGCAACTAAGTGGGCACACATGAGATTACAAGGGAATCATGTAGAGGTTATTAAATTCTACTCCATGTCATTTTCAATGTAGCATACTGTAATAGTAAAACATAGATCCTTAGGTTGCATGTACAGTTAGGTATATCGTATTTGATTTTTCCACTACCTATGTAATATGTATTCGATGTCAATAATCCCCAACACCTCTAGCATCTACACACTATTGGAAATATGGACACGCTTCCATGAGAACGTTGACTATATGCATAAATAAATGTTTGTACATACGAAAATGCTGACAAAATAATAGCCTTGTAAATTCGCATATTGATCAAAATAATCTTGCATGAGGTAGTGGTGAGTAACTTCATGATTTCTTTGTATGTATGTTCTATTTTTCCGCCTCATATTTACTAGATTTCGTTTTTGTAGTTCTTATATTTTATCTTCAATGGATTAAATAACCTCTATGGTCATTTCTAACATTTTCTAGAAAAGCACAAAAATAAAGATGGAAATTTTAGAGAGAATGGAGAAGTAGGTTTTAATGTGGTATGAAATTGTATGTAGGGGTTGTATTTATAAGTATTTAAAAAAATATATTTAAAAAATACTGGTTAGCTCATTAATTGAATGGAAGGATTTAAACTCAGTAATCACCTATCGAGTTACAATGTCGAGCAACGTGTTTTGAGTACGAGACACGGTGTATGCGGAGTCCAGGTAGGGTATGTCGAGCTTGGTACCTCACCACTCCGTATAGCCTAATCTTTAATATTTAATCTTTTGGGGTGAAGGTAATCATTCCTTAAGTGTTGAACTCGACATATATTGTAGCAAGTAAGAGAGAGGAAGAATGAAGAAGAAGAAGAGAGGGTGGGATTCTGAGTGGGGTACAAGAAAGAGGAAGAAGAAGTTAAAGAAGAAAGAACTCAATAACTGGTCAACGAGTTAAGCTGCCGAACTCGGCATGTAGAGTTCATAGCACGGTGTTTTTCGAGTTTATCACGGATGGGCCGCGTTAGTTCTGAATCCTCCCTCGGTAGCCTTATTATCTTGATAATAAAGTGGTTCGATATCACAACCATAAGACTTTGTAATTGATGAACCCTTTAATAGTTACATGTCATGACTTCTTTTGAATTAATAGCTCGTAAATGAAATATTGTATTGTTTCTCTGTAAATTTATATCAAAACTAGGCGAATGCCCGCGCGTTGCGCAGAAACACCTATATAGTTGAAGTCTTTACAAATATATGATTTTTAATTATAACAATAACGATGTTGTTAAATTTGATACAATAATTTGTATATACTAAATTGATATAATATATTGATTATTTTGAATTATATGATAATATATACATTTATTATAACTTCATAATCTCAATCGTTTGAATGCTTTCCACCTGCGAGTTACACAAGAATAAAATTAAATATAATATATGATTTGATGTTATTTATAGTTGTTTTTATTGTTAATTAATTTTTTTAAATTTATTTTTTAATTGTTTTAATTTCTATCATTATAATTATTTAAAACATTAAACATTGTTTTTTTTTTATTTTAAAGCTAACAATATAATAATTTATATAGAGTTGTTTTTAACTATTGTTATTGTAAGTTATTTTAAGCTATTTATTTGGAAACTTTTAACGATTATAAAAATATATTTAAGAAATATTTTAATTAAAT